TAGTTGTTTGTTTAGTAATTAGTTTGCACAAATCCAATTCATTCCCATCAAGTTGGTTTTAATTCTTAGTTCAATTACGTTTTTAGTCCNGATGCTCGTTCTGTTTTGAGAATTAGTTTGTGAATTTAGTTGTTTGTTTAGTAATTAGTTTGCACAAATCCAATTCATTCCCATCAAGTTGGTTTTAATTCTTAGTTCAATTACGTTTTTAGTCCCGTCTATGCTTTGTCAGTTCATAGTTGTCCAAGTTTGATTTGTGTTGAGCAAGTAGTTTGTTGTTGATGGTTAAAATCTGAAGTTTAGTTTATTTTATCACAAAATAGGGTAATAGTAGCTTACTTTTACTAGTAGGGTGGCTGAAAGGATATTTTTTCTCCTTGCTTCTGACACAGCAGATTTTCAGGTTGTCCTTTCACCTTTGGGACAGACCTTGAATAGTGTTTAGCACACAAAGTCAGTCTTTTGGACAGATTTTTGGTGAACCAAAATCTGTCCAAAAATCTAACTTTATTTGCCTATTGAAAGGGTTGTTTTTCTCCTATAAAAGGGACTGTCTTACACTTAGAAGAGGGAGTTCCTTACTCACTGAAAAAGGGGACACTCTATCTTATACTTAAACACATCTTGGAGAGTTGCAAAAAAGACATATATCGTTGAGAAAAAGCAGCAGCTTAATACATATAACAAGCTGAAATTTCAGTGTTTTGTGAGGATTATTTGAGTGCAAAAATCTCGAGAAAAATAAAAAGATCCCTTAGGCAATTTGTGAAGTTGATAGCTACCAGTTTCAAGCATCTTTGTTGAGTTTTCTGGGTTATCTTAACACTTGAGTTGCTGCTGTTTCTATTGTATTTGCTACTGAGTTTTTTGTTGTTGCACTGTTGTATTTTATTATTCTACAAACCAGGTAACTTTCAAATTCTTATATTGCAGATTCTTGATGATAATAAGAAAGATTTGATCCCGGTTTGGTTGATGGAATATATTAGATCTGATTTTGATTCAAGATGAATGTTATATTAGTGTTATTATCATGTAAATCTGTAAAAGATTAGTTAAATTATTATTTGTTTTCTTTATATATGTGATTGAAATTGCATTCTGTTAAGATTACTTAGTTTAAGGAAAAGATAAAGACCCCATTTTAACCATGTTTGTTTAGTTTGGGCTCTTTTCCGTGAGTTACTTTCATGGTTCATGTATAATTATCTAAGAAAGACTTCTAGCTTTAAATATTTTGATGCTTTGAATTATAATCAACATAATGTTATACTTAATATAGTTCTTCTCTTTAGCATTGACGTATTACCGTTTTTTTTTTTGTAGTTTTTATATTTAGTCGTGATTTTTATGTTGTTAATGAGTGTAGTTTGATTAGTGCCATGATTGGTGTAGACGAGTAGAAATATTCTGTTAGTCCTTAAGAAATAGTTGGTTAAGAAGATAAAATATAATAATTAGCATGTAAGTTTCTTTTTATGAAAAAAAATAAAAATTGTTTGGACATCAATGTAAGAAGCAATTTGGGCTTAGAAGAATACTTGTTATTTTGTGTTGTCTTGGTCATCGAGGCTCTTAAGCAACATGGTCCAAATAAGCTAAAATTTATAGGCCCAATGACAATAGAAAGCAAGATGGGCATTTTCTTTAAAACCAATAAATTATCTTTTGTTAAATAAAATAAGTGACCCAATACCATGAAAGCTTAACGTAAGCCTACCCGGGTTTAATGTCTTGCATTAGTGAAAATTGTTTTTAATAATAATATTTTTTTTCCAGTCGAACAAGTGATAAATATAAAAAAGAAGCGCTTTTTAATTAATTTAAGCGATAGGCAATTTTAGACACGTTTGAGATGTAGACCATGTGTTCATACACGATCCTTGGTCGTTATTATTATTATTATTATTATTTTTTAATAAAGTAGTTATGTGTGCATTCCCGCTCCTTGACTCTTCAATATTAATTATATTTAAACCATATGTACCGACACGTTCTTTGTTTTAATAAGGACCTTGTGTGCTTGCACGCTCCTAGGCCAAAATTATTAATTATTGAGCGGTACTAGACAATAGTAACTTAAGGCAAATAATACACACTTTATCCAAAAATAATTCAAGCCAAATTTTAGTCAATAAAAGCGACCGTGCTAGAACCACGGATTCGGGAAATGCCTTACACCTTCTCCCCGGTTAACAGAATTCCTTACCCGGACTTTATTTTCGCAGACCAATAATAATAGAGTCAAATCTTCCTTTGATTAGGGATTCAAATAAAAGGTGACTTGGAACACCAACAAAAATCAATTTCAAGTGGCGACTCTGTAAATAAAATAATCCTTACTCAATTTTGTCACTTTAATTGAAAAAACTCTTTAATCCACACAATATTATTTTGCGGGTAAAAAAAGGGTGTGACAATAAATAATTCATTTCAAAACATGATTGTGCCTTAGTCCTTTAGCATAAGTAACTTTGCTTGCTCTAGCCATAACATCATAACTTTACGTTCATCTTTTCTCAACAAGGTTTCCTTGACACTAACATTTCATAAGATATGCTCGGCATAGTATAGTAAGGATAAGATCAAATATGCTAGTAGCAAAATTCGAACAATATGACACGGTCTTGTGACCATAAGCAGCCATTAATATAATTCGATATATTCAATTAACATTTTACGTGTGATTGATCTAGGATAAAGATAGTAATCCCGAGAGCGAATACTCAGATATCTAAAGACACTCTTCTAAAACATTTTGTCATATGTCTTATAAATTCATCATGTAATCTTTAACATGAATAGTGAAATCAAACATATCGTCATGTTTCTGCCTCGTCTTTCAGACCATCTGCCGTCTAACACGTGATTGCGAGCACAACTATGTTTGGCAGCCATATAAAGCATCATTCTTTCCAAAATACTAATATACTACGTATTAAAATATTGAAGACCGTGCACTAAGCTTCCGTCATATGTGATGTCCAGGGAAGGGCGATCACAAGAGTCTATTATACGCCGTCTTATCCTGCGTTTCTACAAGAGATTGTTTTTACGGCTTGAATCAGTGATCTCCTGATCACATGATTATCAGTTACGCCAAGACTCCCCTCCTCTTAAAACATAGAAAACAACAAAAATACATATTGAATACATCGAACCACCAAACTTCCTTAGATTCTCTCCCCCACTGTCTAAATCTCATTCCTAATACCCAAGTTCCTCCTTAAAAAAAGCCATTATACGAATAAAACTTTTAGTTTTTAACCCACCTTCCACATGGTTAATTTTCTCTAAATGTTGAAAAGCTATGTTAGATAACCTTGAACTTTTAACGGTTTGAATACTTCCTCCTTTATTTAGTAAGATATAATTAACTTACTGTGAAAGTAAAATTTATGTTATTTGGTTCTAATTATTTTAGTTTTGGAAAAGTTATTACGAAAAGTTTTCTTGGAGATATATTTGTGTTCGTGAATTGTATTTGAAAAGTTTTTCCCAAAAATTTGAATTTAAGGGTGTGTTGGTACGAAGGAAAATGTTTTCATGGAAAATGAGTGATTTTATCACTTATTTTTCCTTATTTGGTTGATGTCTGAAAAACTTTTTTCGAAAAAAATATTTTCTAGTGTTTGATTAGAGAGTAGAAAATATTTTTCTATGCTGGTCTACTCACCCCCTTTCCCCCAAGTCCCCATGTATCCTTGCTCTCCCCAATACCCAATGTTTTTAGGACTATATTTTCTTCAAAAATTTAATTATTCATCTCAAAATTCACACAAACCAAAAAGAACTAATGTTTAAAGCAAAAGTAACGTTGAAATTTGTGCTCCATAACTAAAAAAAAATACTCTCTTTTTGGTTAAAAAAGAAAATAGTCTTTCTATAACATGAAAATAAAGTAGTAATTTTATTGAAATGAAAAAAAAACTTTTTCTATATCATGAAAAGAAAATACTTTTTTTTGTTAAAATAAAAAAAAATACTTTTTATACATCATGAAAAGAAAATACTCATTTTGTTGAAATTAGAAAAAAACTTTTTCTACATCATGCATAAAAGAAAATACTTTTTTTTGTTGAAATGAAAAAAAATACTGTCTACAAAAGAAAGTAAATTTTTTGTTAAAATAAAAAAAAAATTTATATCATTTTAAGAAAATACTCATATGTTGAAATGAAAAAAAAAAACTATCAAAAGAAAATACTATTAATAATATTTTTATATTTAGGGTGGGGTGAGGGATAGGGCGAGGGTGAGGGTGGGGACGGGACGAGGTAGGGTGGGTAGG